CCTTCGGTGGAGCTCCCCATGGGGCCACGAAGCGTGTGAGGGGTGTGCTGAAACGGGTGATGTCGATGATGATGGAGGAGGAATGACCCGTTCAGCGGGGCTGCTTGATTCGTCCCGGCTTGTTTTTTTCGCGGCCCCAGGACCAGGCGAGGGCCCCCAGAGGTCGAAAGCTAGCAAACAACTCCCCCGTCGTGGTTTTTGCATGACCCGAGGGCATCAGGGTATCGGCCACGCGCAGAGGGTGGAACTGGGGCAGGGGGGAAAGCTTTTTAGAAGCGCCCTGCTTCTTAGAATGCGCGGCTGTGTCTACAATTGTAGGGCCGGCGCCTTCTCAGAAGCAGCCTCTTAGGAAACCTTCCCCCTTCCCCGATACGCCCCTGTGCTCGAAGAAGGAAAAACGCCATAAGCATGAACTTGTGACGCTCCGCGAGGGTTTCTTGGATCCGCGCTGGGCCCCCCCCCCAGCGGCGCTTCCGGCGCCGCCCCTGGCGCGCTCCGCGCGCCAGGGAGGGGCTTCCAGGACAGATCCAGGAAACCCGCGCGGAACGCCAATTTTTCAATACATGTGTAAATACACGCACACACATATCTATATATATATAGATATAGAAAGAAGTATTTTTTATATGTATGTATGTATATATATATATGTATATATATATACAGAGAGAGAGAGAGAGAGAGAGAGAGAGATTGCGAAAGAGAGAGAGAGAGAGAAACAAGTGTCTGTCTATGTTTTTTTCTTCTCCCATGTGCGCGCAGCCAGGGGTTGGTGCCCTCTCCTCTGCCCGCGGGCTGCTCCCCTGCCCACGTGCGCGGCGCCCCGGGCGCGGGGGGGAGGGCCTCGCCCCGGCCCCTCCTCGCGCTCTGCGCCTGCGTGTCCCTTGGTGCGCCTGCGCGGCGCGGGGTGCGCTGCGCAGACGCTCGGCAGCGACGGCGACGACGGCGGCGGCGACGGCGGCGGCGGCGACGACGGCGGCGGCGGCGGCGGCGAAGACGACGACGACGACGACGACGAGTCCTGCGCCGCTCTGGCCCCGCACTTGCCCATGCTGGCGGGAGGGGGGCTCACCGCCGCCGCCGCCGCCGCCGATGCCGCCGCCGCCGCCGCCGCCGCCGCCGTCGCCGTCGCCGTCGTCGTCGTCGCCGTCGTCGTCGTCGTCGTCGTCGTCGTCGTCGTCGTTGTCGTCGTCGTTGTGGGGGCCCTGGTCATGGGACGGAGACGTCCTTTGTCGGCCCCGCCAGATGCCCAGCCTGCCGACGGGATGCGCTTCGGCCTCCGGGGCGACCGGAAGCGGGAGCCCGGCATCCTGCCGGCGGACCGCGCGGTGACGATATCCACCCATGGCCAACGACATCGGGGGCCACGCTCTCCGCCCCCCCCCCCGCCGGGGCCCACGGCCGTCCTCTTCCTCCTCCTCCTCCTCCAGGAGGAGGAGGGGGAGGAGGGGGAGGGGGATGAGGAGGAGGAGGAGGAGGAGGAGGAGGCAATCATGGGCTAAGGGCTGCTCTTTTGCGTTGGTTCCCACACCGTACACTCGCTCAGACCATTGAGGAGCTATGTGCCAGAGCTTGGAGGCAGGCAGCACCTCGTCGTACGGCCTTCTTGCAGCGGCTGGCAGATATGCCACATACGGATAGGTGTGAGTTCGAGATGCGTCACTGGCGTGAACTTGCTGAGCTTCGGGCCATAATGAGGAGATTATTGCAAACAAGGGCGCCTAACTATCATCCTGCCCCCCGCCGCCCTCACCAAGATGAAGATCAGGCTGTTGATGATCTGCAGGAGGGCGATCATGGTCCAGATCAAGGCAGCCTGCCTGAACCAGTCCTACCGCTGCATCGCGACACCCGTGACGGACATGAGGGGCGTCGGGTGCAGGGGTGGCTTACTACGGTTAATGTCACGGGCGCTGGCTCACTTATTGATTACTTGTCTCAAGAACCTGATGGCAAAGTTTTCGCGGTGCAAGAGCATCATGCTCATGGCGATCGGCTGCTATCCATACAAAGACAAGCTCGTGACCTGGGATGCTATGGATGTTGGTCGCCAGCCTCGGTCACAGAAGCAGGCGGCACGAGAGCGGGGGTAGCGGTGTTGGTGACGACTGACATTACGGTGACTGAAGCTCCCTTTCGCGCGCAGGTGGATTTACCCGAGGATAGGTTCGTGGCGGCACACCTGCACTGGGGAGTACCAAAAGGCATCGTCGTGATGAGCGTGTATTTATACGACGACCAGGGCCTCGACGCTGACAACATGGCCATCATTTCAGGCATTCTGAAGTATGTTGGACTGCTCAACTTCTTGGGCATGGACTGGATTGTTCTGGGAGATTGGAACTTACAACCTGAGGTCTGGGCTGACGAATGGCTGGAACAGGTGCATGGTTTTCTTCTTTTCTCCGAGACTTCTACTTGTCATAAGAGCATGTTGGGCACGGTTTTTGACTACGCGCTGGTGGCCAACAACCTTAACACGCGCATGCAGAAGCCAGAGGTGGTACATGACTCTGCAATAGCTACACACTCGCCTGTACGATATTCGTTGTTGGCACATGATATTCCGACATGGCGTAGGGTAATTGACGAGCCGCGGGGGTTCGGATCGGTTCCTCCTATTGGTTGTCCGTACTACCCTCGGCGTGGTGCTTGGCGTCAGGCACGATTGGCAGTCTTGGACGCACGTGACAACGCGTCGCTGCAGGTGGCCTGGGACGAGGTGGTACGGCAGATTGAACAAGATTTGGCTGACAGGTGGCAGCTTCGAGGTGCCAACCATCGCAAACATCTTGGTCGGGCTGGCGTTGTATCATGGAAGTGGGAAATGGTGGCGTGGCAGCCGCCACGAAAACGTACTTATGTATCTCAAGAGGTGAACTGTTGGCAGGTAGCAGAGCGGTGGGCTTCTCACCTGGTGCGAATGCGTGCCCATCTTGGAGAGCATTGTCAACGTCTTCAGGGTGCCCACGCTATGTGCCGCAGTTTCTTCACAGCAATGCGGGCATGTGGCTAAGATCGCCAAGGAAGCTGCGATTTTCTTAGGCAAGGTTGCTGTGGCTAAGCGGATTCTTGCTGGGCTTACCGATGAGGTTAGAACGTTCTTCACTTCAGGTATTGCGGTCTTCTTGCATGGCGACTTCGACGGTATGGTCCAGTACATTGCTGAGCAGGCGTCCACTTTCACCAAGCAGGCCGTCTCCGACAAGTACAAGGCATGGAAAGATTGGGCAGATCGTTCCTTTCTTCGTGGTGCTAGTGCTGCACATCGGTTTACTAAGGTACAACAGGCGCCTGAGAAATTGAAGCCTAATGGTGTATAGAAGTCCTCATGCACTAGCAGATAGGGAGATGGTCACGTGGCGCGAGGTTTGGCAACATCACGGTTCTGATCTACCCGACAGGCCTGCTGATTTTTCTTCGTGGCCCAAACTGCCAGCCATCAGCGTTCCTGAACTGCGAGCGGCTTCTCTTTCTTTTCCTGAGCGCACGGCTGTGGGACAAACGGGGATCGCGCCTAGAGCGCTATGGCACGTGTCGGATGAGGGCCTGGCGGGGGTCAACCTGTTGTTTTCGCGCTGTGAAGATCTTGGCTGGTGGCCTGGGGATTGCACTGTTAATATTCTTGTTCGGTTGGCAAAACCTGACGGTGGAAGTCGTCTCATATGCCTGGTCAACACCCTACTGCGGCTATGGGCACGTGTCCGATCCTCGGTGGCCAAGCGTTGGATTCGGAACGCCAAGATTCCCAGCATTTGGGGTGCAGGTGGCGCTGGGAGGTCATCGGCAGCTTCGGCGGTGGATCACAATATCACGGCGGAAATGGCCTTCTACCTGGGCGAGTTTTCTGTGGCAGCCCTTCTCGATGCATGGGAAGCTTTCGAGTCGGTTTCGCCGTCCGCCCTATTGGGTCAGTCTCGGCTGGAAGGTTTTCCTGTCTTGCTTACGTGGATGACGTTGCAGTGCCATTTGCAACCCAGAACGCTCAAATGTCATGGGTCTCTCTCTGTATGGTACAGATCTGCGCAGGGTATCTTAGCAGGGTGCAGTATGTTCACAACTATGCTGACGGTGCTCACAGCAAAGGCCATTCGACGACTTGCTAGAGATGATATTATACCACGAGCCTTGGTGGATGACGTGTCGGCGCAGTGGGTTGGCAGCTCGACGCAACAGCTCAGTGGCTTCTGGTCGGTCTCAAAGGTTTTATCTTTGATGTCAAGGAGGTAGGGCTCGTTATTCAGGCCAGCAAGTCAGGTTTCGTTGCCGCGTCGGCCGCAGTGATCAAGGCATCTAAGGCGGCCTCTGATTGCTGCCACATCCCGTCGAAGCCGCGCATGCGGAATTTGGGGCATGAGTTGCATGGGCCAGTGGTTAGGCGCACTATTGCCAAGAAGCGGCTGGCAAGTCTCAAACAGCGTGCTCATCGGGTATATGCATTTCGACGGACGGTGGGTACCAAGGTTACGCGATTGTGGAGAACTGGGCTACTGCCGTCGGTGGCTCACAGGTCGTCGGTCAGCGGCGTGTCTGACAAGGAGCTGGAGGTCATGAGGAGCATATCCGCCACTATGGCGGGCTACCCCAAGCGGGGAGCAAGCAGTGCCCTCTATTTGGCGACTCAGCGAGACCCATGGTATGATCCCATCTTCGACGCAACGACTGGGCCGCTGTTCTATTACCATAGATTGGTGTGGGAACAGCTCGTTGGCCTGGGCAGATTAGAACGAGCCTGGCAAGCAATCAATGCCACTTCTCTCTGTTGGAGTACGGCTCGAGGCCCGATTGGTGTAGTCATGTTGTCCCTGCAACGGGTAGGATGGCGTATGTGGTCTTCGACGGTGGTGCAAGATGATCAGGGATGCAGCTGGTCACTATTGCAGGTTGCCCCGCTTCTACTTCGCGATCTACTTCGAGCAGGTATTCAGCGATATCAGATGCAACGTATCTTGGCACATCACGAACAGCGGGAGCCTGGCGCGATCTTGTGGGCGCGCGGGCTGCGTGCTTGCTTGGGCGGACCTTCGGCTACGGTCAAACATCCAAAAACGGCTGGTGCGCTCAGGGCTTTATGGTCTGGTTCGCTGTGGACTAAAGTACGTCTTACAGCGCGCAACAAGGTCGGCGATTCACTGTGTCGTGCCTGCCAAGGCGACGGTGAGACGATTGGCCATGTCTGCTTCAAGTGCGATGCGGTTAACAAGTGGCTGCTGGAAGGTGAAGACGAGCATCCCATGTCTGATGAGCTCGCGTCTTTCCGCGACTCGATCTTGCAGAACGGGGCCATCAATCGTCCTATCGTCAGCGACGAGTGCTTTGAGCTTAGTGTGGGGCTCCCGCAGGTACCAGGAGACTGGCAACATGCCGAACCCGACCCTCCTGCGCGGTACTGGGGATCTTGGGCTGGGTCGCCAGAAGACTGGCCAAGCGTCGTTTTTACAGACGGCTCGGCTATTCTATCCAGCATTCCTGAATTGAGACGTTGCGGCTGGGCCTGTGTCCAAATGTTTCCTGATGGATATCCAGCTCGTGCAGTCTACGGAGGCCTTCCAGGGGTACAGCAGACTATTGGAGCAGCGGAGCGGCACTGCGTTCTACAAGCTCTACGACACTTTCCAGGAGTGAAGCTGTTGGTCACAGATCTCTCGGCGCTCGTCACTGAAGGCAACCGCTGGGACGAGTATGATGCACTCGCTGGCGCACGACGCGCGGGCATATGGAGGGCTATTCGCAACTTTGCTCAAGCACGGAAAGCTGTACCTCCTACCTTCGGCTGTATGTTGTATGGGTTTTCATGTATCTTGTTGGCTTTCTGTATTCTGGTAATTTCTTGCTGGTGTATTTTCACTTGTTGGGGTTTGTCTTCTTAGCTGGGTTTTTGCCTGCTTTGGTCTTTGTCTTGTGGTTTTCTGGTTTGTGGGTTTTGGTGCTTTCCTGTCTATTTCTTCGGTTCTAGCTTCTGTACTGTTGGTTTTCTTTTCTGTCTTCAAGTCTTCGGCTCTTATGTGTGGTGTGCTTCCTAGTACTTGCTGATGCTTTGCTTGGTCTTGTTGTCTTGGGTTGTGTGTTGTTGCTTTTTGTTGAGTGTCCCTCTCATCTTGACCTGGATGAGGTGGCGGCTGGAGTCGCTAAGCGTGAGGCTAACTTCGATTGGGTCTTGGGCAACGCCTGGGCTGATCATGTTGCGAAGCTGGGCGCGAAGGACATCGGATATGCAGAAGGTTATTGCGACTTGTTCAAGATGGCGCTGGCTCAAGCCAAGTTGATGTCCAGGTACCTGGGGTTCACGCTGTGCAGGTTGTTCCAGCAGCAGCTCTGGGAGTCTCAAGTTCGTCAGGTGCGATTTCCATGCGTTCAGCCACGTATCACGGTACTGGAGCATTTTTTTTGGAGATCTGATGTTCGCGCAGAATATCGGTGCAGGCAGTGTGGGGTGCGGGCTGCCACTGCGACTCACCTGGGCAACTTGGGTTGGGGTATTCGTAAGCACTGTAGTGCGTCGGAGCATCAAAGACTGCAGTGTGACATCTTTCTCGGCACTCCCAAGGGCCTTACATACCAGCCTGTGCGCAGTGAGGCAGTGCATGAAGCCGTGCAACTTGCTGATGCCCTACTTGGTGAGGCCATCTCAGAGCAGGTTGTGGTGGATTCGTCAGAGGCTCCTCAGATGGCGGCGCACACTTTTTTTGCAGGCCAAGGCCACGCGTTGCAATGGGATGGTCTGGCGTGCGTTTGCGTTCGTTGTGCTGGCTCTTCAACGGACGTCACAAAGAAGGTGCTCAAGCTCAAGGAAGTTTGCCCTGGGGCGTCTAAGGATCCTGCTGTCAGGAAGAACCAGCTCAAGTGGATTTGTCGATTTGCCAAAGCGCGCTCTATCGAGTTCCACGCGTCTGTGCTGGCCCAGATGAGGCTGTGACTGTTTTTTGTTGTGGGCGAAGGCGATGATCTCGTCTGCTTCGACCTGAGGATGTTCGTGCTGAGCCCGAATCCTGAAATCCTGGTGCGCCAGGTTCGTGTCGCCATGGTGGTGAGTCCGCTGCCCTGGGCACCAGCACGTTGGACCTGGTCGCGTGTTGGCAACAGCGTGCGGCAGCGGTCTGCTGCCCTGGGCACCAGCACGTTAGACCCGGTCGCGGGTTGGCAACAGCGAGCGGCAGCGGCTCATTGCCTGTTTTGCTGGATTCCTGTGCTGATCAAGTGGTTGGCTTGGGAGTTTGGTTCGTGGATGCGGTGTTTGTTCACATCTACTATCGCGGTACTGGAGGCGTGGTGTTCTTTCAGGTATCAGTACTGGACCTTGTGAATCGCCCGCGTGGCCCTATACACGGAGCGGGCACATCGACGAGGGTTTCGTTTCACGGTACTGGAGGCGTTGTGCTCTATTAGGTATCTGTACTGGACCTTGTGAATTGCCCGCGTGGCCCAATACAGGGAGCGGGCGCATCGACGAGAGTTTGCTTAACTTCTTCGCGGTGTACTGAGGTGCCGCGTCGGTCTGAG